TTACCTCAGCAGAATTTTGACCGAGGTAGAAACAAGATATTCTCCGGTGGAGAGATTGTGTTTGGCTCTATATTTTACTGCCAGCAAGCTAAGGCATTATATGTTACCTTGTCACGTGCACATCATCGCCAAAACAGATGTGATAAAGTACATGTTGTCAAAACCTATGCTAGCAGGAAGGATTGGGAAGTGGATTCTAGCACTGTTAGAATTCAGCTTTCAATATGTACCCCAAAGGGCAGTCAAAGGCCAGGCAATTGCTGACTTCCTGACCGAGCATCAAGAATCTCAAAATGAGATAATCAATATCCCGGGGAGTTTGGAGGTTACTCGAGTTTGGATCCCACCAAGAAGTGACGTTTCGGGCAAAGAAGATTGGATCCAGCAAGAGATAAGAAGAGTAACGGGTCTCTGGATTACTCCTTGGAAGCTGTATTTCGATGGATCCCACACTCAGAAGGCTGCAGGAGCTGGGATTGTGATTGTAAACCCTCAAGAGGTTTATCATTATTACTCATTTCTTCTAGATTATCAAGAAAACACTAATAATCGGGCAGAGTATGAGGCCCTGATTATTGGTCTAGAGATCCTGATGGATTTGAGGGCAGCAGAAGTGGAGATCTTTGGTGATTCAGAGTTAGTAATAAACCAGCTAAATGGCGAGTTCAAGTGCAGACATATCACTATGGCAGGGTACTATATGGCAGCAACGTAATTGTTGAGTTTCTGGAGTCTAAGATATCAGTCAATCATATTCCTAGGGGGTCTAACTTAGCGGCCAATGAAATGGTGCAACTAGCCTCAGGAGTGCCAATACAGGAAAGAAAGTATGGAGTAGATGTCGAGATCCAAACAAGAAACCTTCCTTCCATCTTAGACAGGGGATTTAGTCTGGATGTAATGGTTCTAGAAACCAAGATGGAAGATTGGAGGGCACCCATAATTCATTATTTGAAGGATCCTTCTTCACCTACAAGTAAGAAGAATAGGCGGCAAGCAACCAAATATGTCTTATGGGCGGAGAACCTGCTAAGAAAAACCCCAGATGGATTACTATTAAAATGCTTAGGCCAAGAAGAATCCATGAGAGTAATGGTCGAAGTACATGAGGGAATATGTGGAGCACATCAAGCAGGGACAAAGATGAGATGGCTACTCAGAAGGTACGGTTATTTATGGCCCGACATGGAAAAAGACTGCAAGTCTTATGCCCGCGGTTGTGAAGAATGTCAGAGGCATGGACCTCTCCAACACGTGCCTTCAGTACCTTTGAATCATGTGTCAAGCCTTGGCCATTCCGAGGATGGGCGATGGACTTCATCGGGCAAATCTATCCAGCTTCTAGTAAAGGGCATACTTTTATAATTGTAGCAACGGATTACTTCACCAAGTGGATGGAAGCATCAGCAGTAAAATCCATAACTTCGGCCGTAGTCAAAAATTTTATCGAGACCAAGATCCTGCACAGATATAAGGTGCCCGAGACTATAGTAACAGATCGTGGGCCATCTTTTATTTCAAAAGAAGTCGAGGAGTTTGCCAGCAAGTACAAGATAAAGATGATCCAATCCAGTCCGTACTACCCTCAGTCAAATGGGCAGGCAGAGGCTAGCAACAAGATCCTGGTCAACATTATCAAAAGAATGGTGATAGATAGTCCAGAAAAGTGGCATGAAATGCTGGGGAATACGTTGTGGGCATACAGGACTTCCAAGAGAACGGGAACAGGCACGACTCCTTATGCCTTGACTTTCGGGCAAGATGCAGTGCTCCCCATGGAGATCAACGTTAGTTCCGTAAAAATTCAAAACCAATTTGGGTTACATAGTGCAGAATATGTCGAAGCCATGTGTCAAGGAATTGAAGACCTGGATGCAGCCCGAATTGAAGCCTTGAACCAGATTCAAGAAGGAAAAACAGCTGTTGCCCGAGCTTATAACAAGAAGGTGAAGGTAAAGTCTTTCAAAGAGGGAGATTTAGTATGGAAAACAGTCCTCCCGCTAGGAGCTCAGCTTCGGGGCTTTCGAAAGTGGAGCCCGACATGGGAAGGTCTTTTCATTATTAGTCGAGTTTTGATTAAAGGAGGATGCTACCTAGCGGACCTCGAAGGAAATGGGCAGAAACATCCCATTAATGTTAGATTCTTAAAAAAATATATTGTCCTACATTATGGGATGTTAGGGATTGTTACATTGAAGAGGGGGCAGAGTGAAACAGGCTTCGGGAATCTCATATGCAGTGTTTTTGTTCATCAAACATTCAAAGAAGGCAGAAAGACAGAAATTGCTAAAATAGTATTTATTTCATGTCACAAATTGGTGAAATTTACAGAATTCCAATCCTATGTATTACATTTGATTCTCTCTGAATATGGTGGTGTCTTCAGTTGGTTTCCCGATGTCTTCATGGATGGAACCCAATCGGGTGATTGGGTTGTGCGGCCAACATGCGCTTGGTAGAGGATCCTCCGACGGGGCTGTCACCATATGTGATGGTGAAGCCTGACTTATCACCGCAGCTTGCGGGAAGACAAACCATCAAGAGGAAGCCGTCTGACCAAGGGTGTTGGAGATAGTGGGGTGATCGACCAAGGGTGTTGGAGATAACAGTCATCCGGTGAAACCTCTTTTTCTCACGGAATGGGAGTTTTAGGAAACTCCACTCAAATCCTGAGGAACCCATTTCTCAGTTTCTAAGAGGAGACAAGAACGCTCAAGATGGATGGAAGTTGAAGGCCAAAGCCAAAGGGGATTTGGTGGTTTGACAGGAGAAGTCCTGAGCTAGATTTTATAGGGCCTAGAGGATAGTTCAAAAGTCGTGAGAAGAGCAGGGGGCACCGGAAGCACAAGTTCCCAAGGATTGATATGCATGCATGCGGGTATTCAATCAATGTCGACGCCTGGGATTCCAACCTTAACATTAATTGAAGGGGGCACTGTTTGGATTAAAACTTAACCTTGGGCCCAAGGATGGAGTCGGCCCAAAAGGAGGCCTGGATGAATAGAAGATCAAGGCCCGGCCGAAACTTAGGAAAGCAGGAAAGGCCCTTTTCTGACTTGATACAATTCATAAGGACCACTTGCTTACCTACCCAAGGACCAAGTGGTGTAGACTGACCAGACTGCACAGCCTATAAAGTACTTTATGGTGGCATTACATGTAAAAAAGCTGATGAGTCATCACCCTCAAACCGCATTCGGGCAAAACTGTTGCTACAGGAAGCCAAACCAAGTCGTCTATAAAAGGAGGAAGAAAAGACAGGAATAAGGACACTCAAACAAACAAACACTCAAACAAACAAACAAATGCAAGCCCAAACTCTGCTCAAAAAGCAAGATTTGCCTTCCAAACGAAGCTGTAGTCAGCCCAAGCCTTCATCCCATTCGGGATAAGCATTTATCCCCCGCGGGATAACCTTCTCTTCAAACCTTTGTAATAGCTCTGCTACCTTGTTCGAACTTGTTGTAGTATCGATTCACTTTTTGTATTTCCTTCTCCTCTCTCTCTCCCTCTAAGCTTTCAGACCTTTGACAAAACTACAAAGATAAGGACCTGCAAGACGATCAGCCTTAACTGATAAGGTTTAATCTTGCCTGACCTTCTTTGCTCTGTCTTTGTCTTTTCTTTCTTTGAAGTCTAGCAATATGTTGTATACTTCCAGTTATATGCAAGTTGTTTCTAGCAAAATAACGATGACAAGGCTTTCTCAGTACTTGGATCCGATTTGAATATATCTTCAATATCCAAATCAGATCCAAGTCCTAAGCCCTCGGGCATGTAAATCTGATTAGTTTAAAAGTCCTTGGCCTCAAGGCATAAAAAAGAACTTTATGTGGACTTAACCCATCCACAACAATCCTTGATAAACGAGAAGTCCGAAGTTACTTGGGGCGCAAGTAATAGACCTACGACCTAGTTTGGGAGTGAGGTGCTTAAAAAAAAGCACCCATGAAAAAAAGCTGTGAGGGTTTTAGGTGTTTGGTAAACTGAAAAAAAAAAAAGGCTTATTTTGGAAGCTGCTGTGAGAATAAGCTGAAATTAAAGGAAAAAGTTGAAGCTGTTATTTGTAGCTTTGGAAAACTGGCTTTTTTTCAAAGCACTCGGAGCTACAGTGCTTCTTTAATAAAAAGACCCACTATTAGACTGCTTTTTTTTCCAAAAGCACTTTTACAAAAAAAGTTTACCAAACACTCTGCTGATTTATTTCACAGCCGCTTATTCTCACAACAGCTTTTTTTCAAAGCACAGCAATACCAAACCAGCCCTACCTCTTGGTTTTGTTTCTATTATATCATGATTATCATAGAACGCTTAAGTATAGAACGGATTCTGATAGGAAGCCTCAAGGCCTACACCTAAGGCCCCACAAAGGCACCTATTTGGGTTCGCTCTATTCTGCGGTCTAGTTGGTTCAAGTATAAGAATGAACTCTAATGGGAAGCCTCAAGGCCTACACCTAAGGCCCCACAAAGGCACCTATTTGGGTTCGTTCTACCTCTCGGACTCGGATAATCAGAAATATAATAGTTATAAGACTCCTACAAACATGAGTTCAAATATGATGTGTTCGAGCACTGTTTTAGTTTGACAGGAAGCCTCAAGGCCTACACCTAAGGCCCCACAAAGGCACTTGTCATATCTAACATGGTTTCTCGGGTATATACATGTTTGCACCTAAAACTCGACATCCATTCTACATCTGTTATACCGAAGATAGCAGTGGCACGCCTGAGCACCTCAAAGTTAATCTTGATTGTGAGCCTCAAGGCCTATACCTAAGGCCCCACAAAGGCACCTTTCAAATTAACTTTGTCCTTCTCTTTCAGACTTGCCCGAAGAGTCTTGCCCGATAAAGGACTTGCCCGACGAGACTTGCCTGACAAAGCCCGATAGGAAAGCAGAAGCCCGACAGCAGCCCTCAACCCGGCGCCGACCTCCAGGGGAGCTGTGTGCTCGTTGGCCAGGAAAGCATCCCCGACGGAAATTCCTGCGACGAACACATCACATCCTTCATCAAGTGCTCTCCTCACAATCTGCCTCCTCAGAGTCCCGGTGGGGCCGACCACCAGTATGTTGGGGGGTCAAACGGGTCTCCCCGGAGCAAGATTCACAGCCCCAGCTCCCGTCCTTGCCGTACATTTCATGAAACGCCGCGTATTGGTCCCAACACACAAAAATCAAAAATAAGAAAAAAAGGGTTCTTTTCAAATTTGTAAATAAAAAAATGGGTTCTTTTCAATCTTGTGAATTGAAGTGGCAAAACGAAAGCTTTCCTGTTAAAGTGAGGAGGAGACAAACCAGTGGCGGTAGAGGTGGAAGATTTTGACATAGGAAGGAGATGGTCTGGAGCTAAAGTCCGGCACCATAAGAGTGAGGCTTCGAACGACGGCGTTTTGGAGTCATTGTGATGGAGGTTTCCGGGCGTTGCCAGCTGGGTAGGAAGCCTCCAGGCCATTGCCATTTTCAAGCTCTCTCCTTGTTGTCACTGACTGGACAGACCCCCGATCGAATGGAGTACTTATCAATTATAACCAAAATTTAGCCTCTAAATTCACAAATGTCAGTTTACAAATTTTTCAAATATAGCAAAAAATCTTATTGAATTCACCTAAATACCCCAAAATTAAAAGGGAAATTTAACGAAAAGCACCCGTACTATTCACTTTAACGAAAAACCACATTTTTACACTAAAATGTCAATCCTATTACTATTCATTTTACCCTTTATTTTGTCGTTATCATTAAAACTCAAAGTTTTCAAACCTTTTTCATTAGTTTTCCTAAATTCAAAAGGAATTTTAACTAAACACTTTCTGGTACTATTTACTTTTAATGAAAATAATATTTTCACTTTTAAAAATCATTCCTGGTACTATTCACTTACAATAAATTTTTATCATTTTGATTAAAACTCACAGTCTTCAAATTATTTTCATTAATTTTCTTAAATGAAAATCCATGTTATTGGGATTCTCACCAACTGCCGCTATCCCTTCTTTATATTCTTCCTCGATCTGTGCAATAAACAAGTCTTCAAGCCAAAGCCCTATTTCAAAAACTTTAAACAAACACACCAAAACCTAATTTGGTTTCTTCCCAATTTGAGTGGTAGCTTGATGGGAACTTCCATCCTTCTGGGTTAAAGACTTTTCAAAAATAATAATATTTATTGATACTGTAGATCAAAATAAGGCCAGACAACCGCTATGATTCTCTGCACCAAAAATTGATATTCAATAACAAAATAGCAATAAAATCAACGGAATTAGAACATAAAATAAAGAAACTAACCGGACTATAGCAATCGGATTGAAGAGGTGAATTTCAACCAAAAAAACAAAAATCTAAAAAAGGCGTAATATGTCTTAAAAATTAAAACCTAATTGCAATAAACTAACGTCAATATATACAAACTCGTAACAATATGAAACCTAAAAACCTATAGACGTTAATCCTTTTTTAATTGTTATCCAATTAGCTCAAGTATTTACCAATGAGAACTTGTAGAGGCGGAGCCTCTTCAGTTTCCATCTATTTTCGTTTTGTTGAACTCCAGTCTCCATCTTTGGACAAACGTAAAAGACCAAACAAGTTTTAGTTTATTATTGTAAATTAGTTTTATTATAAGGGTATATAGGTCTGTTCAGGCTAGTTTTCTGATATATTTGAAAGATATTATAAAAATTAACATTTTTGAAATTAGAGACTAAATTTTGGTTATAAACGATAAAAACTTGATTGAATGATGGCCAAAAGGATTCTCTCCGGATCTTTTGGTGATGATTTTGGGAATTTATGAGTCGTGTCCCTTTATCATATATTGTACGGTTAGTTTTTGTCAAGTATTGTGTTTATTTAAATAAAAATATTTAAAATGTTTTCTGACATGTACTATGAATAGACAAGATTGATGAATCTCCGCGATCATCACAAAGAGAATCCGACGAGGATCCAGATTCGAAAGATGAAGCTCAGTGTTGCCACGTCGTTCTCTAGAGTGGATTAGGATTTTCTACACTAGTCACAGCTTGTTTCTATTATCATTTTCTATTATCCGTACCGATCCAACCCGACCTAACCCTGGCAAATATTCAAGGTCACTTTGGGGCCGTCTTTTAAACGAAGCCTAATTAGTGAGACAAAGGAATGATTTGGAAAAAAATGAGGAGTACGAGTGTCTCTATATGGAGTAGAGTTGATATGATCAAATTCAAATCCCTGAATTGTGCCCCTTTTCATTTTTATAATAATATTACTTTAGTCTAAAATAATATATACAAAAACCTAGTTTTGGGGTTACTGTTGATCTATAGTGTGAGGATGCATTTGCCCTTCATATTCTCCTCGCTCTACCACTTTTTGGCTTGCTTCGTACAATGGAAAGACGGTTTTGCCGTTCTTTCCACGCGTCAGTCATCGTTGAGCTCTTCACTTCAAGAGTCTTCTTTTAGGTTTAGCCTTTTCTTTGTTCTGGTGATTCTCTGATCTATGTATTACTCTCTTCCTCTTGCCTTCTGTTTTTTCTCAATCCTCCGTTCATCTCAAATATACTGTTTTTTATTTCACAAAATACTTAGGAAAAAGTTTCTGATTTTCGTGTTTTAAGGGATTTTCTTTGTGTCTCTGGTTTTGAGAGGAGTTGTGCATCCCTGCAAACCTACAGTTGTGGGTGTTTTGTTGAAACTCATAAAATTGGTTTCTAGGGTTCCTAAACTTGCAATCGCGGGCCAAGACTTCACAGATTTTGTCTCTTTTGCCTTATGGGATTATCAAACAGGTTTTAGCTTATGATTGTAAATTAGTTTTATTATAAAGGTATATAGGTCTGTTCAGGTTAGTTTTTTGATATATTTCAAAAACTTAAGGAGAATTTTGGGATTTGAGGGTTACTACTGTAAATTTGTACGTCATTTTGGGATTTTGGCTCGTCCCTTGACCAAGCTGTTGAAAAAAAGATAATTTCAAGTGGTCAACTGCCGTGGACACCGCTTTCTCAACTCTCACATAGGGCCTCACCTTCACTCCGACCCAGCCCTTTACCATCGAATGCGATGCATCCGATACCGGCATCAGGGTTGTCCTATCCCAAAACCAACACCCAATTGCCTTCCTGAGTAAATCTTTGGCGGACAAACATAAAGCTTTATCAATCTATGATAAAGAAATGATGGCAATTGTGTTCACGGTCCAAAAGTGGCATCCTTACTTGCTCGGGCACCCCTTCACAATTCTGACCGACCACCAGACATTGAAATACTTTTTAAACCAGAGGATCACCACACCAACTCAGCGGAAATGGCTTCTCAAGCTATTGGGCTACAATTATACCCTAGAATACCGGCCGAGCTCCTTGAACACCATTGCCGATGCCTTGTCCCGGCAACATGAATCTCACACTTATAGGTCTCTCTCTACCTATCTTCGATAGCATTTCGGAAATACAAGCAGAATATGCTCAGGATTCCAAGCCCTCGGCTCTCCTCCACGCTTTCCACAACAACCAGCAGTCGCGCGCCTATTTCTCTTTTCATATGGATCTTCTGTATTACAGAGGTGGCATCTTCACTATGGCTTCTTCCCCGTGGCGACATCGAATTCTCCAAGAATTTTGTGCGAAGCTTAGAATTTGTAGTTCTTTACTGCTTATTCTGCTGCAATAGCAGAATTTGTTTTATACAGCTTTACATACACGCATGCAAAATAAAGAATAAAAGGTGGTGTCCTTGCTGCCCATGATGCAGCAATATAAAATACAGAAACACTGATCTAGGAACAATGTTGCAGCTGTCAGTAATGCAGATAGGAATGTCGAAACCATGTGCAATATTCCTTTTGACAGACCATGTGCAATATTCCTTCTGACAGGTTTACTCAACACTCCCCCTCAAGTTGGAATGGATGTTGATTATTCCTAACTTGTAGAGCAAAGTCGTAAACTGATGTAAGCTCAGTGGCTTTGTGAAGATGTCGGCTGGTTGTTTCATGGTTGAAATGTGAGATGTCCTAATCATACCACTTTGAACCCTTTCTCGTACAAGGTGACAGTCAATTTCTATGTGTTTGGTTCTTTCGTGAAATACCGGATTCGAAGCGATGTGAAGTGCTGCTTGATTATCGCAATACAAGTTGACTGGATGTTCATGTTTGATACCCAAGTCTTGTAAAACATATTTCAGCCAAGTGACTTCACAACAAGTTGCTGCCATTGAGCGATACTCCGCCTCTGCACTAGAGCGTGACACAGTGTTTTGTTTCTTGCTTTTCCAGGAGATCAAGGATTCTCCAAGAAATACACAGTATCCAGTGGTAGAACGTCGTGTGTCACGACATCTGGCCCAATCCGCATCACAAAAGGCATTCAGTTGGATTGGACTTCTTGCAGAGAGAAAAATACCTTGCCCTGGTGTATGCTTAACGTATCGTAAAACTCGGTGGGCTGCCTCCAAGTGTAGAGTTCGAGGCTTCTCCATAAATTAACTAAGAATGTGGACAGCATAGACCAAATCAGGACGCGTGATTGTCAGGTAGATTAGTCTCCCAACAAGTCGTCGATAAGAAGAAGGATCAGTGATGCATTGTCCTTCGTCCTTTATGAGTGATAAGTTTTGCTCCATAGGAGAAGTGGCTAGTTTTGCGCCAAGGTAACCTGCATCTTCAAGTATTTCAAGGGCATATTTTCGCTGTGAGAGAGTGATCCCCTTGCTAGAGCGAGCAATTTCGATGCCCAAAAAATATTTTAGTTTGCCAAGGTCTTTCAACTTGAATTGCTTCGTAAGGAAAGACTTGGTATTTTCAATTGCTTGTATGTTATTTCCTGCCAGGATAATATCATCAACATAGACAAGGAGAGCAGTGAATTTACCATCATGGTTTCGGACGAACAATGAATAATCTGCCTTGGATTGTTGATAACCGACTTTGCTAAGAGCACAAGAGAGTTTGATAAACCATTGACGAGAGGCTTGCTTAAGCCCATACAAAGATTTATGAAGTTTACAAACTCGTGTCTCCCCCTTTCGTCCGAAACCAGGGGGCAAGGACATGTAGACATCTTCTTCAAGGTCACCATGAAGGAAGGCGTTGTGAACATCAAGTTGGTAAAGGTGTCATTGTTGGACTGCGGCAACGGCAAGAAGTAGGCGGACTGTAGTCAGTTTTGCAACCGGAGCAAAAGTCTCTTGATAGTCTAAGCCTTCAATTTGGCTATAACCTTTGGCAACCAAGCGTGCTTTATACCGCTCAACGGACCCATCGGATCGAAATTTGATTTTGTAGACCCACTTACATCCAACCGGCTTCTTGCCAGGGGGCAACGGTTGAAGGGACCACGTCCTATTCGCAGCAAGGGCTGCCAGTTCTTCTGCCATGGCTGAACGCCATTGGGGGTCACGTATAGCCTGTGAGAATGAACTGGGTTCTATGGCAGCTGAAATGGAAGTGGTGAAAGCACGATGGCGAGCTGATAAGCGATCATATGTGAGTACATCAGACAAAGGGTAAGAAGTACCTGCTACTGTGGTCAATGCCGAGTGAGATGAAGGGACGGACCGAGAAG